TTAGTGGTTATGACACTCGCCTTGACAGCGAGAGGTCGCAGGTTCGAGTCCCGCCAGAGGCATTTTATTACACAATTTCTTTATTCATTTATTTACAGGACTACATTCGTTGAGAGCTATGCTACACGATGTATTTATTAAGTCCTTTATTCGAACACTGTATTTACCTTTCTTTGATGATTTATATATATATATATACATATATATATATACATATATATAGGCTGTTTATTCTAATCCCACCTAGCCTAGCCTATTGTTTCTAATCATGCTTGCATGAAATTCTCACTTTATACTATCTGGCTTTTTCAACCCTCACTCACTCGCCACTGAGGAAGGACTAGTGTTGTCCGAAAGCTCTGGTTCACATTTCAAAGTGATTTTGGATGAAACGTGCATTTTGCAGAAACACATGCGTGATCATAAATTTGTCACTCACGCATTTAGCACAAGCCTATAGGCGTGATAACCAATCAATAATTCAGTGGAAAATGTATTTAAAATTATAAGAAATTTATTTTATTAACGATATAAAAACGGTCATGCAGTAATTTGATTCATTAGAGAGCTTTCATTATCTCTTTCGAGAATCAATTCACCGACAAAATTTCTCTTTCTCGACCAAAACATCCCAGCCAACCAGGCACTTGGAGCGTGTCCACAACCAACTGTCCAACCAACTCTTGATTATGTGACTGAAACTCGGACTCCATTGGGGCGCCGACCCTGGATACCGGTGGGGCCCTGGTGCCCCCCCCGGCCCCCAGAAACTGGTGTAGTCATGCGTTTCAAATCTCTCATGTTGGTAAATAATGTATGAACAAGAACTCGATCACTAAGCAAAAATAATACTGTTTCGCATTTGGTGATATTATAGTCTCAACACATTGTAATTTTTCATGTTAGTTGATAGGCCTAATTCGCAATGAATACTACGTGATTACTTGCAATTAATTGAAGCCTAATTACCTCCACCATGACGTATTGTTTCCTACAAAAAATATATAGCATCGACGTCCACTAATTGATGATGCACGCCTATATTTCATTCATTCACTCAGTCAGACATTTACCACAACATCAACATGCTTTCATGCACGCTAATGCGTCATATTCCCAAAGTCCCATATAATGTTTCTATAAATAAAACATATCTCTATGTACACCTTCATACTTGATATAAGATATTGTCATGTTCAATTCAAACTTATTGGATCATGGAGTTATTATAACTCCATGATTGGATGTACACTCTTTGAACAGTGATTCTTTAAAAAAAAATAACATGTACAATTTTTTTTTAAAATACAGACTGTGTTGGTGTAAAAAGTTGTAACAGTTCAAGTGCTTTCCTGACTAGTTCTTGTCTTGGGAATAATTGTAATTCCAAAGTTAATTTGATTAGGTTGTTTATGCCACCATGGGCTGGCTAAAGACTTTCTGTATTTGTCGCCATCTATGTCGGATTAAAACGTTCGTGTTGGCTGAAACATCTGTGAACCATGTAGATTGCTTTGGCTGCTGTACACACAAACTTATATATTTTCAGCGCACTACTCCTAATCACACAGCCATATTAATTATTTTATTTATTTCAAATATTAATCGTATTTCCTATATAAACATTTATTGGTTTTATATTTGTTTTTAATTGTGTTTTTGTTTACAATCCTTATTTTTGGTTACTTTTTAATATTTTTTATAAATTTATCTTATTAATTCACCTTCTATATTCATGTCAGTTGCATTGTATTAAGTTTTATAACTGTGTATTATTTTTATTTAATTTTTTTTAAGCATCTTCACAATTATGAAGGGCGCCAATGTTAAAAGGCTAGTTTCCGAATAAAAATTACTTACACAACTAATTTATAATAATAATAATAATATAATAATTTCATAGAGAAGTCATTTAACAATTTATGGACTTAGAAAAGTTTTAATGTTTATATTGTCATATGTTAATAAGCACCGGAGGTGGCGGCCATTAAGACTGCCTTCAGAGGTAAAGTGCAAGTTTCCATGAGTTTCACTGCAGCAAAAACTCGCTTCGCCCATGTATCACACATTAACCCGCCAATTGGTCGATGTCATCTTAATCGGGGAAGGGGATCATTAAAAGGCAAATAAATAATTTTGCTTACTTTCTTGTGCGGTTTTGATACTAACTATAGAAATAGACTAAATTAATGTTAGAAATAGACTAAATTAATGTTAGAAATAGACTAAATTAATGTTAGAAATAGACTAAATTAATGTTAGTGCCTGAGAACGGCAACAATTCCGTAGGCGAGAAGATCCGTAAAAAATCGCCCTTTAAGCCGCACGCTCATGATGATGAAATGTAGATATCGAATGACAATATAGTTAATAAATTGTATAATTTTAAATAGTTTATTAGCAGGCATAACTGCTTCGGCCGTTGACTTCGTTCATTTAATCATTTGGACATAATGCATACTGGTACTGGTACGGGCATTTATAATGCGCCTCTTTCTTGCGGTTATAACAATTCTTTCGCTGGTCATTGGGTCCACATGCTAAGTGTTGCTGCTGGAAATCAGCGCAGGAGCAGGCACCCCACCAGGTACGCATGGCTGGTGTGGAGAGAAGCAATGCAGATAAAGTGTCTTGCTCCAGGACACAAGCGAAATGCACAACGAGGGATTGAAACCCCGACCTCGAAGTTGGGAAACCAAACCGTTCCCGCTGCGCCAAACCGCTTCTATAGATTTAAGCTAAATCCAGGTGGGTCTGTCAGTGCCACATCTGCGTTTTTTTAAACAGCTAATGGACCTGTATCATCCCCTTCTTGGATTTGATAAACCCTCTTCATGTTGTATAGGCCTAAGCTATTGACGTTCAGTATTGACAGTTTTCTAAAGCCACTTACGCACGTTAGCTTCGAGTTAATTCAAAGAGCTTTCTTTGCAAAGGGATTAAGTATTTAAAATAAAGAGGCGTGAAATACATTTAATTGAAGTGCAAAATTTAACACTGTTAAATTTTCTTAACCATGGTTCGAAAACAAAGAAATCGGTTAGTAGAAAGTAAAAAACGCGACAACTTTTTTAGACAATGGAGTAACTGGACAAAGTAGCGCGCGTTCATTGTATTGGTTTGAGATGCCTCCTCTGTAAGTTGTGTATGAAGATATTTAGAAGTATTAAACTTCCATTTTACAATTAATACTTCCATGTTGGTACCAGGTATAGTAACCTATCCACGTAAAGGAGAACCACTTTTTCAAATAAGAAATCATCAAAATAAACTAGAGAGCTCACAGGTCAGAGAAGTATTTAATAGACTTAGTTTCTCTTTTTTTTTTGTTATTTATTTAGAGGGGAACCTAATGATTATGGATTTTCAAAACCTCTATCTTAAGCTTATTCCAGTCTATAACGCACAGCTGGTCTATTGTTCTTATAGAAACGCAGGTGACATTCATTATGTTTCACATAGACTCTCACCAAAGGAGACAGCAAACCAAAAACCCCTTAAGTGGTGTTCATGGAAGCAGACGAAACAAACAAGCGATGATACAATTCGTACAAAACCACGCAAAAGGGGTAGTCCTGAGCAATTGACAATTTCTTTTTCTTCCACTTGATTACATTAATTTTTCTAATGTGTGTTGTGGGATTAAAAAAACAAAATATAGGCCTATTTATATTTATCGATACAGATACTTACATAGAATTCAATGTTTTACAGGAGGAATCACACAATTAATATAAAGAATAGAACAGGATACCGTAATATGACGACATCATCAACAGTCTGAGGCCTATTGTGGTCAGTACAGTATACATCAAGTAATCAATAACTCGTAGCACCACCCATTTTTCCTAAAGAGGCATTACATTTACATTGTACAAGATTAATCTAAACTCACTAGTGATGATCACCTATAGCCCCGCCTCCTTCATTAGAAGTGTGCCACTTACAACTTGGTATTTCGTTCTAAGAAAATCTCCCGTGCGATGAGCTATATAACAGTCCGTAAAAATCAATCGAGATCGTGTTTTTGATATACAGGTGTAATTTACTGCCTCGAGCTTTGCTGGTTTGTGCTAAATAGATCTCATTCGACTGCTAACGAGTAGCCCGACGCGGGGAACCGTTGTTTAAGTGACAGGCAGGGTGGCCTGAGCTCAAAAATTAGCTGGGCTATTTAGGGTCAGGCTGTTAGACCGATTCTACTTTACATATACCGAAATGCCGCAATCATTATTTCGTCTCAGTTTGCCTCTCCTGGCTATAATTTTTCTTTCAATTCTACGTATGGAACAGACTTGCGAAGCTAAAGAAAAGGTAAGTGGACAAACTGGCCGCAGGTCAGTCATAAGTGACTTTTGACTTTTAATTAAGTAATGAATCTATAAAAGGCCTAATATCAGTCTGGCTGATAACAAGAGTGGCTGACGCAGATTGCCTATGTTTAAGTTCAATGATATCGTGTTAATATTTAACATTGATACATTTATAGTAAATTTATTGAATGTCTGTCACTCATACAGTAATGGAAGGATGAGTAGACACGTGTTTACCTATTCACGCCAATAAATGTGATTACAATATTTGATATTCAGCCAATAAGGCCTATACCGTACCTAAGTGTTTCAGTCATGGTATCGGATCAATACTGGCCATGGGCTAGGTACTGGGACTTTTTCTATCGTATACCGGTCTACTACGGTTGACTACTAACAGAAGTTAGGCCTACACCTCTGGATAACCAAGGAATGTTTCTGTAGATTATGAAAAAGAAGTGGGGCGGGGCGGTTAAATAGAAATACAACATTCACTGAACTTCGTTAAACAATAGGAAAGGAGCGTATCGGTGGCTATGTCTCACCATAAATCAGATTTATTTTCATTAACTTAGGCTATAGACCTATTTTATTCACGTTTGAACAAAAGGGGTTCTCAGGCATCGTGAAAATCTCTCTCGTTATACGCCACTATACGCCACTGGAATAGCCTGTATAAGAGGGTTTAAACCGAAATCATTGTACAAGCGCCTAGTAAATTATCATGTCATTTCGAAGCCCCTCTTGTATCTCGTGTCATCCCGATTCATTATAACCTAAAACATATTAATGATGCATAACAGCCAGTTCTGTATGTTTCATAGTGAATTTCGATTCTTTGGTTTGATCACCGTGTAATGTAACCTCCAATTTGTTTAAAGCCAAACTCCGCAGGAAAAAAATAATTTAATAATGTGTTGTACAACTGATTTTTCTAAGACACAAAAATGGTGTTTGACGAAAAACTCGGGAACGGTTAATGAAATAGAGATTTTTAAATATTTATAAATTGGGAAAAGAGGCGGAACCACCGTAGTGATACAAGCCATCGTGATTCTATAATTCGAAATTTATTCGTCCACATAACAAACAATAGTCAAAATACTGCCAACCCCAAAAACCCCGCCAAACTATTAATAAATCTGTCTAGTGTAATACACCAGTGCAACATTCTACCAATGCCTCTGATAAAACGTACTACAAACAAAATAATAGATAATAATGCCAGCTATATCCGTACAAAAGTAATTTTATATTAAATATGTACAAAGATGAAATATCTAAAGGAGACAAACGATAAGAAACACTTTAATACAAAGCTGATATGCAGGTATATTATTAGTATCTACGCAAGATTTCTGTTGACGGATAACGTCATTATTTACTTTACTGAGGTATTTATAATGATCTATACCTAAAGGTTGCTAGGCCAAGGCAAGGTCTATACACATCTACATAAAAAAGACCATTTTACTTGTTATTTATAGGATAATAAAGAAAATACCAAGTTTATGATCAAGACCGAAAGCTGGCATGGTAAAAAAAATGTAGCATGCCACTAATGTCAGTTTTAAACAAGTACTGCATGTTTAGACTTAAATTTTGGAAATCAGGATCGATCATTCGGTCTACTTCTGTTAGTAGTTCCTAGGGCTCATTGTCAACCATTACTCACACATTTGATGTCATTCTTAGTCAATATGAAGAAGATAGATTCACAAAAAGCGACCTAATCACTATCAAAATGTAAAATAGACCTATGCCATGCAATTTTAAACAACAAAAGCAAAAATCAGAATAAAAAATGGATGTTATGAATATTGAAAATCGACAGCATACATATGATAAAACTTTACATACAAAAGAAATGATTATGATAATGATTGTGTAACCCACTTCTGTATTTTAATGTTTTGAATAAAAATATAAAACACCTTCAATTATCAGCAAAACCTATGCAGCTGTCGGTACTCAAAGCGTAGGCCTACGTAATGACAATCTACGAAGAACCACACGCAACGCGATTTCATGGAACAGCTCAGGACTGGAACACAGCCAAAAGTGCAAGGCGCAGGTATCTACAGCCGGGCCTACAGCACGTAACGTCAACCTTAGAATATAATGACAGCTATAAGGACGATATTTAACACATCCTCAAACCAATTTGGGCGGAAATAAAGTGTTTTGGAATGCCAATCGAGACATACCCTACGCCTAGGGAAGAGTGATACAAACAGAAATAAACACTCCCAATCCGAAAATATCTTAATAAATAATAGGCCTACATCTGACCAAAGAGTACGGTATAATTCTTTGATCTGACATAGAATCAAGGACTTAATTATAACTGTTACCGAATTAGCGTTCTGTCTTTCAACTCGGTTGCAAAACTCGGTTAATGTATAAAATACTCGATCATTATGCTCATTTGGAATGTTCACCTCCCATATTGGTGGAGACAATTTGTTTTAGGCTTATAAAAAATAACGGTGAAAAAAATATGGTTGTGTTTGAAGCAACGTTTTGAAAAAGAAAACAGATTATCAGATAGGCCAAATTTTTTCAGTATTATGTAAGGAAAGGTTCATATGCAATGCCATTTTTGCGAACCTATGACCCCCAGACTTCAAAAAATGGGCCGGAGCCTATTTGCATCTAAGGCTAAACATGACAATATAAGCCACATTTACAAGAAAACTACCGATACATTTTTACTTATTGACTTACTGTATATAGAATTAGGTACGGTATTGAGGTTCATCAACATGCGGTTGTTTATAAACAAGTTTAATTGAGTACAGTAGGTTTACTCACTATAGTTCTATAATGCTCCCCCCCCCCCCCACCCCAATTTAACCAGCTACTGAAAATGAATTTAAATCGTTCACTAAACCAGACAGCCAAACGTCACACCACGAAATGAGACGCATCGTTGGTGAAATCATATTGAGATATTCACCAAAATAGGTCAAAAGCAACATTTTTACAAAATTTTGATTTTAATGTTTTTGAATAACGTGATACTTATATTTTATGATTGTGTACTTTTTAAGTAATTTTTTTTTACTAAAACAGTGTTCTCTTCGCATATTCTGTAATTCTAGTCCTATTATTTGTACAGGTTAGGTTATCTTTGAGGCCGATTTTCTCAAAACCTGGTTCTCATACACCTAAAATTTATATGCTAACATCTCTAAATCTATTTATCCTAGGGAAGCCATTCAAAGACCAAATATAATGTGATCTACCGAAATGTAATATTAACTCATTTTTTGATTTTCTAACGATGAGACTCATTTTGTAGTGAGACCTCACATTAACAAGCGAATTAAGATGCGCGTGCCTCGCTTCCGGGCAACACGATGCCTAGACAACGTCCACATACCGGAAGTAATCAATACGCGTGAGCATTATAGAACTATTCCAAAGTCTAAAAGAGAATATTAGAATATAGTATAATGGGTTTTTTTTAACATGAAACGTGTCCATTTAGGCTATTGTGGTGCACATACATAGGATTCGCTCGTATTTAATCGTTAATAAATCAAACCTTATCATAATTCACACCATAGGACTACCACATAAAGTAATTTATTTTTACATGTATATTGCATGATTGATTTTAAGTTTTCAATTTGGAGACCCACTCGCCCGGCAGTAGTCTCGCTGTTTGGTTATCCTAGCGTGTCACATGACATGGTGTTATGGGCGGGGGAAAGGCTGATTTGTGGTTGATGACTATAAATTTAATTAACCTAAGACTATCGGGTTTTTTTTTTTTTGTTTTTTTTTTGTGAACTCGTTTAGAGAAGCTCAGTTTGATGATGAATGTGATTGGAAATAGCTAATGAAGGTGTTTACTTAACATTTACTCGCCTCTAGCCTACTAACCAATTAAAGTTGCAATCTATACTGTATTATGAAGTGCTAACGTGTATTTTTACTAATTTGAACATATGGTTTGCCAGTAAAGTTCCAGATTTACAATGTTGGCAACAATGCACAATACATTACATGTGTTTTTGGTTTATAAGTTAATAACAATGATTGAAAATGATGGACCCAGTGCTCAGCCGTACATCATGTGCGGTTTCAAAGTGAATCCGCATTCTTAATTGATGGACGTGGTTTAGCGTGACTTCTGTACTTTCTCCGGGATCCAATCTTTGCTATTCCAGTACTGTATATACAAACACACTGAGGTTTATAATTGGGGCACTGCAATAATTTATTCGCAGGAAACACGAATTATTTCTTCCGATGAAGAACTGGAATGGGAAGGAACTACTCGCATTCGTCCGAGTGCTGGGTAAGGCCTTAACATGATGAGCAAAACCATAGGCGTAGATCCCGGGGGATGGGGGATATACCCCCCCCCCCCCCAATATTTGACAAGGGGGGGGGG